TTTAGGTGCCAAGATCTGGTAAGTTAAGTGAAGCAAACCACCGGGTCTCAGATTGTGCATTCAGCTGTGTTGATGCATTGCCTGAAGCCGTCTTCTCTTACATCTAACACATTGTGGCCTGTGTCTTCTGTGCCTCAGATTCATGTCAGCATAGATTATTTCTTCTTGCGAATGTTCTCCTGGCCTCAGCAACTTTTTTCCCCCCCCCCCCCCCAAAACCCTCTCTGATAGCTCAAGCAGAAAGCAATGCATTTGGAGCCAGCCCTGCAGATATATTGTCTGCTTCTCTTTCCCTGTTGCTAAGGAAACTCGCTGTGTAACAAGATGCTGACTTCTTTAGTTCCTGCTGCCGCTCTTTATTATCCACTTGAAGTCCTTGCTCTCTGTGGCTCTGCTTGTTTCAAGAGTTGTGTGGAACCAAGCCAAGGGGTTGCTGTTGTAAAAATGTGAAGCAGATATTGGGGACTGCAAAACCAACAGCCATTTAACAGCCACAGCCTCTAAAATGACGTGTGGTAATGAGACAGCAAAATAAATATGAAAATGGAGGATCAGGTGTGGTCACCATTATTTCACAGCCCTGAATGCCTCTTTGCCGCAGCTGTGTAGGCAGTGATGGGCTTGCACACTAAAATACCAATTGTCTGGCTCTCTGTGCTGTAGTTGCAGTTATACATGTACTTTGCATGTGCCAGGCCCCACTAGATTACTGGTTAGCCTGGCAGTATGGATGCTGAAGCTGTCTGGAGCATACTTGCCTTAATGTATGTGGCATGGTGGGTGCGCAGGGTCCCAAATCGGATCCTCTGCAGCCTGTGTGTTCTCTCCAGGAGCGTTACGTGAAGGAAGTGGAAAGCGACAAAGAGAACATCATCCTGATAAACAAAGCGGACTTGCTGAATGAGGAGCAGCGGGCAGCATGGGCGCAGTTCTTTGAGAGCGAAGGCGTTAAAGTCGTGTTTTGGTCAGCCTTGGGAGAACGGGTGCGGCTGAGCACTGCAGCTAAGGTAGAGGAGGTGACTTCTTTGTGCTGAGCACACTCTGGGGAGTCGCAATGACTGAGGTGTCCATGTAGCTGCTCTGCTTGCAGTGCAACTGAGTGCTCAAGAAAGCAGGATGTTTCTGCTGCCCGGAGAGGGTGTTGCTTGTGTTCACTCTTGCTGCGTAGTTACAAAACACCGCTGCAGCAGCAGATAGAGACATGTCCACAAAAGCCTTCGTGAAGTGAAGTAGCGTGTCCTTCAGTTCTTTTATCACACCATTCGCAGCTCCTTTTTCATGGCAAGTGAAAAGATAAGTACTGTCGAGCCAAGATGTGAGCTAGCTCTGAGGGGTTCAATGAATAGTACTAGAAACAACTGGTTGGCTGGCATAATGTGATGGAATTGCCTTCTAGGCTGGGTGCTAGGAGGGACATGCATGTCCAAACAAAGCATTTCCCTTCTTCAGGGAAGCAATGGTGCATAAGGGCAATCCTGAAGTAGTTGGCAAAATGTCTTCTCACACATTGAAATGATCTGCTCCCACTTCAGTTATCCTATCTGAATAATGCTGCATGTGGGTTTAACTGGCCCTGTCCATTTTAATAATGGTAGTTGGCTATGTAATACTCTGTGTATTCTACCTGGCAGTGATGGGGGTGAGGACGGGGCGTGTCTGAATGGGTTTGTACAGCACAACACACATTGCCTGCCAGGCTTCTTGTCTTCCTAGCTGTTTCGGGGATGACACTCTCACTTTTTATGCAGGGCCTAGAAGTCGAGGGAGCAGCAGAAGAATCCAGTGACTGTGAAGACAGAAGCTCCAGTGAGGAGGAGGAAGATGGAGCTGTGCAGAATGACACAGATAACCTGCACCCAGAGTATTCTCTGTGTCTGGGAGACAGAGTGCTGGGCAGCGAGGTTGACGATGATGACAGTGAAGAGTATGAGGACTGTGAGGAGGAGGAGGAGGAGGATGCCTGGCAAACCTGTTCTGAAGATGAGGGTGGGGACGAAGTAAATTTCTCTGCCCCAGGCTGGACAGGAGGTAGGAGCGAGAGGCACGGCCCTCAGTTGGTGCCGAGCAGGCCCTTCAGCAACTTCAGCCACCTGGTTCAGAGAGAAGAGCTGCTGGAAGTGTTCAGGTTGCTACACACCGGCAGGAAGGCGAAGGAGGGAGAGGTCACCATTGGGCTGGTAGGTTGGAAGCGGGGCCTCAGATGGACCAGCTTGAGGTCAGTTTAGCACTGGGGCCTTCCAGGTTAAAACAGCCCCCCAGGCAGCATGCCTGGAGCACATACCACCAATGATGTTGTGCACAGTGGCCTTCAGGCTTTCTCTGGAGTGTGGTGTTGAGTGCCCGCTGTGATAGCTAGTGCTGCGATAAAAGCCTCAGCATCAGAGGTCTGTGAAGAGCGTGGCAGGGTCCTACTAATGTGTCCGTGTTTTCAGTCCACTTTCTGTCTTCTAGGTGGGTTATCCCAACGTTGGCAAGAGCTCAACAATCAACACAATCCTGGGAAACAAGAAGGTGTCGGTGTCTGCTACACCTGGGCACACAAAGCACTTTCAGGTATGCAGTGGGGTCACATGGTATTGGGGCCCCTGAAGAAGGCTGCAGTGTTAGGCAGCTTGCCTCTGGGGGTGCCTAAGCACTCTTGGCTCACTGGTCTGAAGGCTGTGTATAGTTTCTTGCTTGTGTCTTGTGGGGCAGTCATGATCTCTGCTAGCATTGCTTAGGAAAGACTGATGATATGCTCCCCCGTTCAGTGTGTGACTCGAGCTGCTGTTCCAATGACAGTGTTGTGCACACCCCATTCTATCTCTCTGAATACTTGGCTCAAAGTGAGCCTCAGTCAGAGCTGAGCTTTGCCTGGATCCCTGGAGGTCAGGACTTCAGGGCTGTCATCCCTTGTTGTCCAGAGTGGCTGTTAAAAACCCTGGGGTTACTGCAGCTTTGCTTTCCTCGCCTGTTGTCTCTGCACTAGGCAGGCTGGAGGCTCTGGCTGGTGATCGCAGTGCCATCACTGTCATGTTGCAGAACCTTTCTCACCCTCCATCTGGAGCGTGTGTATATATGTGTGCGCACATGCACTCTGTGTCCTTCCCCACTCCCTCTTGCTCTTGTGTGTACAAAAGCAAGACTTGGTGAGCCCTGCTTTTATCTGCTGCACAGACCCTGTACGTAGAGCCTGGCCTGTGCCTCTGTGATTGCCCCGGTCTGGTGATGCCATCCTTCATCTCGACAAAGGCAGAGATGATCTGCTCTGGAATTCTGCCCATAGACCAGATGAGGGACCATGTCCCACCCATCTCTCTAATATCCTTTGCTTGGGGTTTGGTACAGATCTGCAAGTGTTAGATGCATACCAAGACTTGGGTGTGGAAAAGGCTATGTGGCAGCAGGGCTGTCGGTGTCTTTTGAGATCCATGGTGTTATAAAGGACGGAAATAACCCCAGTATGTTACCATCTTATCCCACTTTGTGGGGGTTGCAGGTGGTTGTTTCCCAGGTTAGCTTCATTGTGGAGGTTTGTGCCTTTTTTCTGTTTCAATCTTCAAACCAAAGTCCCCAAGATGTTCTTTAAATGTTCTCTTAAAGTGCAGTCTTGTCGCTGGGTTAATTAGCATGACCTCAGACTGTGCTGTTTGTACACGTGCAGTGGAAACCAACACATGGCTTCCTTGACTAGTCCACATTTGCCAGCATATCCCACGACACATTTTAGAAGCGACCTATGGAATCAATATCATACGACCCAGAGAAGATGAGGATCCTGATCGCCCGCCCACAGCTGAAGAGCTGCTAACTGCTTATGGATGTGAGTAATGGTGCGCTGCTGTAGACTGAAATGTTCTCTCACAGGATTAAAGCTTGTGGGACTTGGCTTGGGTCTGAGTATTAACCTCCGCTCCACTGGCCTGTGCTGGGGAGAGAGTATGGGGCAAGTCTTCCAAGTTTAGTATCACAGCACAGGGCTTCCTCCCTGGATGGCATGTTCAGGAAGCAGTGGAGAACCTGCTGCAGAAGCTCTCCGAATCGTAACCTCCTGCTCCGTCTTTCAGACATGAGAGGCTTTATGACAGCTCATGGGCAGCCGGATCAGCCAAGGTCGGCCCGTTACATATTGAAGGATTACGTCAGTGTAAGTTCTCCCTGCACCGGTCACCTTTCCTGCTGGGCGCCAAAGCAGCTTTTCCATTATAGAAGTAACGAGCTCCATAAGCAGGGGGCTGCTTCAACTAATACTCTAGTACAATGTATCTCAACCCTTCTAGACTTGAGGGTCCCTTGGAAAATGCTAGCTCTGAGCTGCCACTTTACTCTTTTTAACTACAGAAAGTAATAGAGCAGTTCTTCAAGAACTCAGGAAAACTGCAGCAGGACAGAGATTTTTGTAACACTGGATTCCTGTTGGCAGCCTCTGGGTTTATTTTGTGAATCGTGTTTGCACACCAAACAGTGCACACATTTGAGTGGCACCCCACAGCACCCCTGAAAGGATCTCAAGGCACCCCAGAGTGGTGCAGGACCCTGGTTGAGAATCACAGCTCTAGCACGTGTGATCAATTCAGGTATCAAGAGTTTTTTTTCTTTTTAAAGAGAAGAAAAAGCAAGGGAGACAGGGTCTTAGTGCTGGATATTGTTGGGGAGAGTATGTGATGCCAGAAAGATGGAAGCTAGCTGCACAGTAGAGTGCATCTGTGAACTGCACAACTCACAATAAGGAAAAGGAGTGTCCCTTTGACTGTAGTGGGGCAGGTGCTGACTTGATTCTGGCCACGGTCCTGTCCTGATGTTGATAATTCCACAAGCTGCTAGAGAACCTCTCAGCAGGAGGTTGCAGAGTGCTTTTGTGGGATCCCTACAAGGCTGTCATTGAGCATATTTACAGCTGGGTGAGCAACCACTTGAGTGCAACTTAGCTGGCCAGAATTGGAGTGGGTCTATGATGGAGCTCAGACAAGAATGCAAGAGTCCCCACTTTCTGGTTGCAGCTGCTATCTGTGGTTATCCCTCTTATCTTGAGGGGTCTGTCCCTGTTGCTGTGGTTTCTTACCAGGAGAATAACAGCTATGCATTGTTCTTGCAGGGTAAGCTGCTGTACTGCCATCCCCCTCCTGGCACTGACCCAAAAGACTTCCAACACCAGCACAACAGATGTACACAGAGCAGAGCCATGCAGGGTAATGCAGAACTGAGACCAGAAAGGAATCGGAGGGCAAAACAAATTGAAAATGTTGTGGACAAAACATTTTTCCATCAGGTATTTTGGAATTAATTCCCTGGGGGCAAATTGCCTAGCACTGGCTGTCAGCATCTTTAACGGTAACCAGAAACCATAGTTCAGGAAGGCATTAAATGCAGCTTCTGAAGTTACTGGAGCAGTTACTGGAGTTCTAAATTGTCAGATCTAGATAACTTTGCAACTAAGAGTTTTTAAAAGAACTAGCCAGAGTGGTCAGGATTGATGTTGATCTTAAATCTTGGAACCTCAGGAAAGTTTCAGAGTATTGGAAGAATAATTAATTCTGTGCCAATGTTAGCAAAGGATAAATGGAGTGATCTGGTTAACTTTGTAGGCCTGTTAGTTTTATCCCAGCCAAAATAATTGATTGCTTTATACAGGATACAACTGATAGAGAATCAAATGAAGGCAGCATAAATAAGGTGATGGATTTGTGGATATTCCATCTTGTAAGGCTAGCTGTGTCTCTCTGATACAAAAGGCTGTGGATATAACTAGAAAATGCTTGAATGACACTGATTTAGAAACTCAAGTGGTACAAAATTAACAGAGCCGGTCATGAATCTGTTTGAACATATGCTAACTGCTCAGTCTCAGTGTAATGGTGATATGGGGAATCTTCATCAAGCAGGCACATTTCTATTAGGGTCTGGCAAGGATATGTTCTTGCCTTGACAATATTTACTGTTTTTATCAGTGACCTGGAAGATGCAAATAACTCAGATTGGAGGAGCGAAAAACGGACGAGGAGGGTGGGTGATGACAGTGAGCCAGGTGCAAGCACGCTGTATGTGTGTCAGTAGAGCCCAACGTGAAGTCATTCATGGGGAAACACAGAACGAAGGCTGGAAGTGGGACCCTGGAAAGCTCTTGGAGGACCTGGTGGATGAGCAGTTGGGCATGCGCTGTGTGAGACACTGGCCAAAGGGCAGATGTGGTAGTTGCACCTGGAAAGAAACAGAGCTATTGTGCAGATGCAGGGAGTTGTGCTACCTCTGCATTTGTCATTGCAGTGGTGCCCTGGTTTCCACAGTGCAAGCAAGACACTCGTATGTTAGAGAGGGTTTGTAGAAGTGCCACAGGAATGGTTAAGGGACTGGGAGGTCTGCCTTAAATGTGCCCCTAGGAGCTCAGTCTGAGTTGATCAAGAAGGGTGTGAGCTGATTTCCCTATTGGGAGCTGAAATTTGACAAGGAGATTCTTCAGTCTGGCGGATGAAGGCACACGACACACTGGCTTGAAGCTGGTGCTGGACAAACTTGGGCTCCAAATAAGATGCATGATTTCAGCAGAGGGCAAATAACTGCTGGCACAACTTGCCCCAGCCTGTGGTGGCTGCTGCAACACTGGGAGAACTGAAATTGGGACTTGGCACTTTTCAGAAAGGTCGGCTCTGGTTCAGACAGGAATCAGCCCGAGAAGGCGTGTGGCTTGTGTGATTCGGGAGGTCAGGCTAGGGGATCATCATGAGCTTTGCAGCTGCTGAGCTGAGGGCTGGATTTACCTTTGCCTGACACTTAGAAATAATTACTGTAACGATGACAGTTTTGCAAATGTCTGTTCCCCAGGAGAATGTCCGTGCTCTGACAAAGGGCGTCCAGACTGTGATGGGATACAAACCTGGCAGTGGTCCCGTGTCCCGAACTGAATCTAGCTCCAAGAACGAGATGGGGAAACCCTGGAAAAAGCATGGGAACAGAAACAAAAAGGAGAAGGTTCGTAGGCTCACCAAGCACCTGGATGCCTAGCCACAGTGGGGCAGAGCGGACTGTCCAGGTAGAAATGACAGTGTCCTGTACATTATGTGCACAGACTGAAGCTGCAGGGATAAGCCAGCATTAGTGCTTTGTGCCAAAACACCAGCCGTGTTGTGGGCAGACCAGGGCAGGTGGGTGAGATCACATACTGCTCTGAGCCCCTTCCTCCTGGGAAAGGGACCAGGCTCCCCAGGAGCAGGTTGGTTTGACCGTTGCCAAGAAGTCGGCCTTTTTGCTGAGTGTGGATGAGGTAGTCTAGAAGACTTTGGACATGGACAAGGCCTCTTACAGCTGCTAGGATTTAAACAAACCCCTACAAAACCATGATCTTGCATACTCAATTTTTACTGGATAAAGCTTGTTTATATTTGAGACGCCTCTGTCTGCCTCGTTTCTTTTCTTTTTACTTGTGTAGCTTATTTTCTGGCAGTCGCTTCTTCCTGCCTTCCCTCTGCCTGCCACTTAGTTCTGGGGAATGTAAAGGTCCATTGAAAGCACCCTTTGCTAACAGCTGGGTCATGACAAAGAGGCAGGAGAGTCTGGAAACTCACTGATTTCTGGCAAAGAAGGAAAGAACCTCACATAGGGTGACAGGAGCCAGGTGCTGCTTTCACTTCGCTGCTGACGTGCTAGTATAAGAGTTACATTGCTGTACAAACTTCCATTGACTTCTGAGCCCTGAGACCCTGTGACGAAGTCTCCTAGTCCTCATGTCTGGTCTGTTACGAAGCTGAATTTGATGTCCCGTAGGTGTCCCTGTCATACAGTCTCATCGAACCTCTGATACCATGTACTCATCTAGATGCAAGATAGACTATAGTGGAAATACCATAGTTTCATAGTTTCTAGGGTTGGAAGGGACCTGAGCAGATCATCTAGTCCGACCCCCTGCCACGGCAGGAAGAGCACTGGGGTCAAATGACCCCAGTAAGGTGGTCATCCAACCTCCTTTTAAAAACCCCCAGGGTGGGAGCCTGCACCACCTCACTTGGAAGCTGGTTCCAGACCCTAGCCGCCCTGACCGTGAAGTA